GGGTAAGCCTACAGGAAATACAGCCCTTATTTTTAGTGTTTATAAAATCCCCTATGGGAAAAATGAATGGTGGATAAACAATTGAAACCATTTCCCTGTTTGACCGCTAGGTTTTATGGGTATTATGACTCATACTATGGACTTCCCCTCATTAGCGCAAAGACAGTACAGTATGAAGATAGGCTAAAACTGCTTCTCCGATAGAAATCCCTGATCACACTTGTAGGCGACATCATGGCAATGTTGGCTAGCTAAGCTCATGCATAGAAACACGTCATCCGGTCTAACGGTCATCTGGCACCAAACTATACAATATAAAGTAGTTTTTGACAAAAATCAAAACGTGTCAGTTTGCCACTTTCACAAGGTTGGAGTAATAACATGTCCAACTACTTCAAACATTGGCTCGAATCTAGGTTGTGCCATTAGATTGCAAGAAACTAAGGAATAATGTTTCACTTCTCTCATTGACTTCACAAACGGCTTAGTCTGTTTGGTCTGTTTCGCAGGCGTTCCCGGAAGTCTGGCGATGTTGCACCTCTGGGTTTAGAAACTCTGTGACTAGAGTCATGGCAGCAAAACTAGCTGGAGCCTATCCACATTTAGACTTCCGGTTTTTGGATTTTGCTTTCAAACTAAAAGTCCACGGTAAAATGCTATGTGAATGATACGAAATCAATATTTTTTGCAGCTTTGCATTGTGCACAATGTTAAAATTATAACTACATTTTTTTGACAATTATAATTTTCTAAAATATATCATAATTTTGATTGTATGATTCTTGTTTATTTACTAGTGCTATTGTTGAAGAATGCAATTTTGAAATGTGATGTTTAAGAAACGTCACTGTATTTTTGTTGTATTGCACAAACAATTTGCACTGTACAGAAAAAACGATTGATTGGTCCATTGGTCACAATGTGAATAACAGTACATGAAATACATATTGGCTTATAGAGCAAAAACTATTCTAGGTGCCGCAGTAAAAGCACTTTAGGGAATACTCAGTAGGGTCAGTAGAATCTATATATGGTGACATTTCATGAGCTCTGCCTCTGAATAATACGGAGTGTTACTGGACTTTAACTGTGGTCAAACAGCTTAAAGTGGGTTGCCTGGACACTATACGGTACAAATATAGCACTGTACAGGAAAAATGATTGATTATGTGACCATAAAACCAGGGTCCAGTCTACTCACTAGAGTCCCTAGAATACAAAACAGGTGAGTTTGAAAAAAAGCTAGGTCACAGGAAGCTTTATGTTGACATTTGAACAGTGAGACGCATATCAGAACCATGGACAGCTACCCTTTTAGAACGTTATGTTGTCACTTTCAGCCAAATATGTGGCCCAAAAGCATTTTAATGTGATTTCATATTTTAGTCATTGTAAAACCACACACTGGTAAAGAGAAAACATTACTACCTGTCTCAAATTAACTGGGGTGGAAAATACTCAGTTGGGGTTCTACTAACCAAATACAGTGGGGGAAAAAAGTATTTAGTCAGCCACCAATTGTGCAAGTTCTCCCACTTAAAAACATGAGAGAGGCCTGTAATTTTCATCATAGGTACACGTCAACTATGACAGACAAAATAAGAAAAAGAAATCCAGAAAATCACATTGAAGGATTTTTAATGAATTTATTTGCAAATTATGGTGGAGAATAAGTATTTGGTCAATAACAAAAGTTTCTCAATACTTTGTTATATACCCTTTGTTGGCAATTACACAGGTCAAACGTTTTCTGTAAGTCTTCACAAGGTTTTCACACACTGTTGCTGGTATTTTGGCCCATTCCTCCATGCTGATCTCCTCTAGAGCAGTGATGTTTTGGGGCTGTCGCTGGGCAACACGGACTTTCAACTCCCTCCAAAGATTTTCTATGGGGTTGAGATCTGGAGACTGGCTAGGCCACTCCAGGACCTTGAAATGCTTCTTACGAAGCCACTCCTTCGTTGCCCGGGCGGTGTGTTTGGGATCATTGTCATGCTGAAAGACCCAGCCACGTTTCATCTTCAATGCCCTTGCTGATGGAAGGAGGTTTTCACTCAAAATCTCACGATACATGGCCCCATTCATTCTTTCCTTTACACGGATCAGTCGTCCTGGTCCCTTTGCAGAAAAACAGCCCCAAAGTATGATGTTTCCACCCCCATGCTTCACAGTAGGTATGGTGTTCTTTGGATGCAACTCAGCATTCTTTGTCCTCCAAACACGACGAGTTGAGTTTTTACCAAAAAGTTATATTTTGGTTTCATCTGACCATATGACATTCTCCCAATCCTCTTCTGGATCATCCAAATGCACTCTAGCAAACTTCAGACGGGCCTGGACATGTACTGGCTTAAGCAGGGGGACATGTCTGGCACTGCAGGATTTGAGTCCCTGGCGGCGTAGTGTGTTACTGATGGTAGGCTTTGTTACTTTGGTCCCAGCTCTCTGCAGGTCATTCACTAGGTCCCCCCGTGTGGTTCTGGGATTTTTGCTCACCGTTCTTGTGATCATTTTGACCCCACGGGGTGAGATCTTGCGTGGAGCCCCAGATCGAGGGAGATTATCAGTGGTCTTGTATGTCTTCCATTTCCTAATAATTGCTCCCTCTCTATAATTTTAATGGTAGGTTTATTTGAACAGTGATAGACAGAATAACATTTAAAAAATCCAGAAAAACGCATGTCAAAAATGTTATAAATTGATTTGCATTTTAATGAGGGAAATAAGTATTTGACCCCTCTGCAAAACATGACTTAGTACTTGGTGGCAAAACCCTTGTTGGCAATCACAGAGGTCAGACGTTTCTTGTAGTTGGCCACCAGGTTTGCACACATCTCAGGAGGGATTTTGTCCCACTCCTCTTTGCAGATCTTCTCCAAGTCATTAAGGTTTCGAGGCTGACGTTTGGCAACTCGAACCCTCAGCTCCCTCCACAGATGTTCTATGGGATTAAGGTCTGGAGACTGGCTAGGCCACTCCAGGACCTTAATGTGCTTCTTCTTGAGCCACTCCTTTGTTGCCTTGGCCGTGTGTTTTGGGTCATTGTCATGCTGGAATACCTTTCCACGACCCATTTTCAATGCCCTGGCTGAGGGAAAGAGGTTCTCACCCAAAATTTGATGGTACATGGCCCCATCCATTGTCCCTTTGATGCGGTGAAGTTGTCCTGTCCCCTTAGCAGAAAAACACCCCCAAAGCATAATGTTTCCACCTCCATGTTTGACTGTGGGATGGTGTTCTTGGGGTCATAGGCAGCATTCCTCCTCCTCCAAACAAGGCGAGTTGAGTTGATGCCAAAGAGCTCCATTTTGGTCTCATCTGACCACAACACTTTCACCCAGTTCTCCTCTGAATCATTCAGATGTTCATTGGCAAACTTCAGACGGGCATGTATATGTGCTTTCTTGAGCAGGGGGACCTTGAGGGCGCTGCAGGATTTTAGTGTTTCACAGCGTAGTGTGTTACCAATTGTTTTTTTGGTGACTATGGTCCCAGCTGCCTTGAGATCATTGACAAGATCCTCCCGTGTAGTTCTGGGCTGATTCCTCACCGTTCTCATGATCATTGGAACTCCACGAGGTGAGATCTTGCATGGAGCCCCAGGCCGAGGGAGATTGACAGTTCTTTTGTGTTTCTTCCATTTGCGAATAATCGCACCAACTGTTGTGACCTTCTCACCAAGCTGCTTGGCGATGGTCTTGTAGCCCATTCCAGCCTTGTGTAGGTCTACAATCTTGTCCCTGACATCCTTGGAGAGCTCTTTGGTCTTGGCCATGGTGGAGAGTTTGGAATCTGATTGATTGCTTCTGTGGACAGGTGTCTTTTATACAGGTAACAAACTGAGATTAGGAGCACTCCCTTTAAGAGTGTGCTCCTAATCTCAGCTCGTTACCTGTATAAAAGACACCTGGGAGCCAGAAATCTTTCTGATTGAGAGGGGGTAAAATACTTATTTCCCTCATTAAAATGCAAATCAATTTATAATATTTTTGACATGCGTTTTTCTGGATTATTTTGTTGTTATTCTGTCTCTCACTGTTCAAATAAACCTACCATTAAAATGATAGACTGATCATTTCTTTGTCAGTGGGCAAACGTACAAAATCAGCAGGGGATCAAATACTTTTTTCCCTCACTGTATATGGTGATTTGCATTGTGGCCAATGTAATTGGTGGAGTAAAAGGTCAGCAACACTCCATATTATACATAACATCTGTGCCCATGAAATTACACCATATATGGATTCTACCGACCCTACTGAGTATTCCCTACAATACTTTTACTGCAACACCTAGAATAGTTTTTGCTCTATAAGCCAATATGTATTCCATTCAGGGGTATTCAACTCTTACCCTACGAGGTCCGGAGCCTGCTGGTTTTCTGTTCTACCTGATAATTAATTGCACCCACCTGTTGTGCCAGGTCTAAATCGGTCCCTGATTAGAGGGGAACAATGAAAACAAGCAGTGGCACTGGCTTGGAGGTCCAGAGTTGAGTTTGAGGGCTTGAGTGTTTTGCATTGTGGGCAATGGAATGGGTGGAGTAAAAGGCCAGTAACACTCCGTATTATTCAGAGCCCAATGAAATGACACCAAATATACATTCTATAGACCCTACTGAGTACTACCTACATTATTTTTACTGTGGCACCTAGAATAGTTTTTGCTCTATACACCAATAATATTTCATATACAGTGATTTGCATTGTGGGTACTTATTTGACCTTGGAATATGTTTTAAAACCCACATGTATTGAACATGTCACTTAAATATGAACGTTGTGTTTAGACAATTATTTTTTATATATTATGATTAAATACAGGTTATTGACACTTTTCTACTATTACGTGGGGGACTTTTATTTTGAACATTTCTGATCGTCACCTTTTACCTGTGGGTGGGTGTTGCAGAATTAGGATTTACCTGTAGCCGCAGGTAATAACCTACACGGGGAGACGAAGGAACATAACACTGTGGAATTTACCAGTAAGAGTTTAGTGCGTAGGGTTGGTAGCGAGCTATTTGTCTTGAAATCTGTATACTTTGTTGTGAAGAAAACACAGTTGGAGAGTTGAGAAACTCGACCCAAATAAAACATTTTCCGTACGGACTTCCGTAATTTTATCGGCGTCAAGAGTTACCAAAGGTAACCCAAGCGATTTATGCGGTAAGTTAACTTCTCAAATGTTCACCGTATGAAGAAGCTTATCCTAATTTCGAACAAGCTTAACTCTACCCCAACATAAAGTGATCTTATAGGCGACATGTTATTTGTGTTTTCTGTAAATATTCTATAAAAACTCATATTTAACAAACGTCCACATTTCTTTATTACCCTACAAAGGTAGCCTACCTGATCAAAATAGGACGAACGCACGCACGGAAAATGTATCCAAAACAAAGTAATTGTGACAATTCCACAGGCCAAACTGATAAGCGATTTAGATTGACTTGAAAGTTATCAGAATTGGATGACATTTTCATATTGCATTCTCTCACATTGCATGATTGTTAAAACATCTATCTGCAAAGTAGCCTACAATAACAAACTATGGGATGTATCTCAAAATACAGTATTAGTTCAATGTTTGGCGTCAATAGTCTACTTGTTGCAACAGGAAATGTTTCATGTGACTGTGACTGACAAAAGAGAGATGATTAGTAAGCATAATTACTGTGTTTAGATATGACTATTATAAAGTGTTCATATTCCATTGTTCCCATCACATTGAAAGGTCCCAGGCGCTTTGAGCCATGCCTGGCCACAGCACAGGGGCTCCCCAGAAGTCCCGCCACGACAAACAACACAGCGGACACAGCACCAGGGCTGACGGCTACAAGCAGGGCCGCACCATCTCTAGAGACAGCACCGCAAGCCAAGAGTCCTACAAGGACCCCCATGCTGACCACAACACAAGGGAACAGTACCATGGAGACTACTCCCGTCACTCTGAGGGCCAGCAAGGCCGCAGAGGAGCCCCCCCAACACGACACGTCAACGGGCGGGGGTCAGAGACACTGGGCTTCATCCCTGGCTCAGCAGACTCTCCCCAGAGCACAAATGCATGTGGCTCCTGTGCCGCTATGGGCTGGAGCGGCTGCAAGGCTCTCCTCTGCTGTATCTTCACCTGTGGCTTCTATGGCAGCCAGGATCCCTGTCTGCCTGTCAACAGCGAGAGCTCCACGGACCACCCCAGCAAGGCCGACGCTGAGCAGCCCCACCCCCCTAACGGCATGTCCGTGTCCAACCCCACCTGCGGCATCCCTCTGGAGCCCAGCATCAAGCCTTCTAAGCAGCCCTCCAAGCTGCCTCCCAGTGACAGCTTCCACTACAAGGACGTCCGCATCGGGGGCCAGACGGTGGTCTATCCCACCTCGTCGTCGGGCCCCAAACGGACGCGTACGGGCGGAAAGGGCGACAGCCAGCGTCCTGTCAGCAACACCAGCACCATCTACTCCCGGGAGGACCTGGATCTGGACGACCTGAGCGACAGCGGCACGGACATCGACTCGCTCATCACTAAGAAACTTCTAGAGCTCTACGCGCTGCACCAGATCGACCAACTGGCCAAGTGCACATCTGACTCGTCGTTCTCAAGGAAGACCAATGAGATCAGCGAGCTGATCAGCAGCATTGCTCAGGACTACAACCTGGAGCAGCAGGAGGCAGAGTGCAGGCTGGTGCATGGTGTGATCCGCATCAGCACACGCAAAGCCAAGAAGAACAAATACTCCAACTCCCAGGCACAGGAGCCAGTGCACCAGCAGCCGCGAGCAAACGGGAGGAACGACAGAGGGACCCTCCTTCCTGACAGTGGCAATGAAACAATGACGTACACATTTAACAGCAGTGAGAGTAAGAGAGGGTTAATACATTCATGTATACATTCAACATAACTAGTGCATTTCAGGTATTGAGGGTCTTGCTAGAATAAGGATGACACAAAGTTTTGTCTTTCAATTTAAGTCAGAAAATCCAACAATGAATTTTATTCCTCATGACTTTCTCATTTAACCACACACTTTTCCCATATTCTTGCTTCACATGTTTCTGTTGCATACCAAAATGATATAGTCAGTCACATCCCCATAGATGACTCTGCTGAAATGCTTTTGGTGCGCTAGTGTTCGTTGTCTCACCTCTTCAATATCATTGAGTCTCCATTTTCTATTCATTCATATACATCTATGTTTGAGTAACTCTACATTGTGTTTTTACCACAGTGGAGCCTGAGGTGAAAGTGTCGGAGCTGACCCAGTCAGACGAACTAGCCAGGAAGATGAGGCACTACAGTGGAAGAAGTAAGTACTTCTGGACTTGAATTCACAAAGTCTCACAGTAGGAGGGCTGATATAGGATCAGTTTAGTATTTAATATCATAATGAATAAGATTATATGGACATGGGGTACCTGATCCTAGATCAGCACTCCTCTGAGATGCTTTTTGAAAACGTGCCCTAGTCTCTACTACTATATCAAGACCCTGTACTTCCCCATACCATATATGTTATACTGTATAAGATGTATCTTGAATCTGAGCCAGCATCTATATACAGTATTGCCTTTACAGTATGGCGGGTTCTGTAGCATTTGTGTAATTGTTCTACACTGGAAATACTCTATCATATCTGATCCGATAAAACATGTTTTTCAAACAATAACACATTGTTTCCTTGTTGTGGCTCATGGAATAGTTACATTTACTTGTCCTGGGCAATGTTCATTTAGGCACCAAACAGAAGAAAACTGACGAACAGGGAAGGACTAGCTAGACTTGTCAATCTAGAAATGCTCATTTTCCATTGCAAAAGGTTTTAAAACATTTCTAGCTGCGTGCCCTAATGAACACAACCCTGGGTTCTATTGGGCAGCAGAGGTAGTAGGCTTATCCTCTGGGTTGACTGACTGTTCCTGTAAGTCATGGTAGCTGAGGGGCTCTATGTTCAACCCAGCCATTGTGCCCAGTGCAGCTGCAGGTGTTTTCTAACCGCTTCTCTGTTCTCCAGTGGCATACCATGCTTTGATGTGACTCCTGGAGAATAAAAGCCTTCGCATTCCTTCTTTTTCTATGTGCTGTTTTGTCCTGGCTATTCCTCCACCTCCTCCTCCTCTCTGCCACCTTATACACCCCTTGCATCCCATCTCAGTTTCCCTATTTGCTCAGGGTAGGTGGTAGTGGGGGTGCATACCGCCCCCTCCGGCAGTGTATCAGGTCACATTAAATACCTGCCACATAATGGTCGATGGTTTATTATGTAATAAGGGGAGTAACACTGGTTACAGCTTTTTTAGTTGCACAGTGGTGAGAATGGAAGGTGAGGGGGTGTCTTATTACAGTGCCTTTGAATGGAGGAACATTGTGGTGTTTTCACACTGTATGCATCTGTGGGAGTGTGCCAGGATATCAGAATCAGCTGTCAGAATGTCATTTTCTATCTTTATTTGATAAAGGGCTGGTTTACTGGACACAGATTAAACCTAGTCCTAGATATAAAACTGCTCAATGGAGAATCTGTTGAAATGGCTTTTAAATCCAGGACTATGATTAATCTGTGTCCAGGAAACTGGTCCATATGGTATAGTGTGGGTCAGTAATCAGTTATCATTTTAAAGTGGTGACTTCAAATATTGTTATACCTTGTAGTCTGTCTGCCTGTCATTCCAATACTGGCTGGTAAATGTCTCTCTATTCTTGCCCTCCTAGCCTACTCCTCCAGCTCAGCTACAGCCTACTCTCCCTACCAGCATGACACAGAGACCGACTCGTCAGGGGCCCCACTGCTGCACGTCCTCTGAACGTCATGACAAGGTCAACACAAAGTCCAGGGCACAACATTATCAAGGGCCTCAACCGAACTGGGGCTGGCTGTTGTGTGATAGTGGGAAATGTTTGTTCATCAGCCTATTGTTCCTCCAACACTGTCATGCTTTCCTGTCATTCCTCCAACACTGTCATGCTTCCCTGGAACTGTAATATAAGGACAGAGTGACAGAGAGGATCTTAAGTGTTGGACTATTGAAGCCATCTCCTCACTCTGGTGTGGAATCAGCATGTCCTTCCACACCATGGAACCATCTGTGAGTGGGACTCAGGCCTGCTTGCAAGGGGGAAGGGAGAGATGGTGGCACCACTCTACGGGTGCCCAATTGGCACATATCTGAACATCGGAAAAACAAGGGATATTTTTTTTTTTTACAGGGGAAGAAAACTATGGACTTTTATTGTGTATTTGCGTGCTATGTTGCAAGTTGTTTTTATACCAGTTATGTTGTTGCCTTGCCACTCCAAGCAGAGACACTAAAATCACTCCATGCCATTTTAACTCAGTCCTCAGTAAAGTGACTGACCATAATGCGTAACCGTCCCTGTTTTAGTGTGTGACTGTGTGTGCGTGCATGACTGTGTGCATGTGTGACTATGTGCGTGTGTGACTGTGTGTGTGACAGTGCGTTAGGGCAGATTGGCACCCTGCCATTTGGACCCAGTAGCAGGTTTAGCTTCATACTTTACTTTCAGTGTCAAAGGAGTTATTTTTTCCAAGTAAACTTTGCTTCTTGGTTTGTCTAAACATCTCTTTTGGAAATGGGGCATTGGATCACTTTAAATAAAAAAAAAAGGCAATGTATAGTTACATTTTTATCAAAATAAAAAAAGGAATGAATCCCCTTGCCTGTTTATGTTTGTTTAATAAACTCTGTTCTATTATTTATTATAGTTAACTTAAAACTAATAGAGTATGCTTATTGGACTGCATCCTAACTTACATTTTAGTCATTTAGCAGACGCTCTTATCCAGAGCAACTTAGTTAGTGCATACATTATTACTTTTTTCATACCCCCTGTGGGAATTGAACCCACGAGCATGGCGTTGCAAATCAACTGAGCTTCATCCCTGCCGGCCATTCACTCCCCTACTCTGGGCCAATTGCGGGCCGCCCCACGGGTCTCCCGGTCACGGCCGGCTACGACAGAGCCTGTATTCGAACCAGGATCTCTAGTGGCACAGCTAGCTTTGCGCCACTCGGGAGACTAACTTGAGATCTGTTCATGAGATTTCCATTGACACCAATGCTTGACTTGAGTTAAACACAGATCTCAAGGATGGATTCAGTCCATTGAGTCTTGAGAATTACTCTGTTTATGCACAGATATGTATTATTGGGGAAGACTTGGGAGTGTGTTTTTGATGTTGGGTTAGTCTCTAATTTGTCATTCGATCAGATGTATGTTAACGGTCAGCTATGCAGCAGAAGAAAGATCTAATGTTGGCTACTACAGTTCTAAGAAGCCTGTACTGGTATTTTATTTTATATTTATTTCACTCTTTCCTTCCCATGAAATGTGTTAACGGGCATCGCTGTATATTCTTTCAACACTAACTACTCCTGCATTCTTGTTTTGCCTGCTCTCCCTGTCACAGCAACATGTTTGTGCAATGTTGTTGGGCTACTTTTTCAGCACTCACTGTATTTCTCCCCGTCTCTCAAATTACTGTATTGTCAGCCTTCTCCCCCCCCACCCAGGTCAGTGTGTTGTCAGTCTATTTCCGCCCTCAGTGAAAAAGGAGTAACTCGTTTGACTGGTTTTGACAAGAGGAGATAACATCCTGCTGTTTGTCCTGAGTAGTCGCAGAGGAGGGGCGCGCTATGAAGAAATGAATAATTTCTCTCTTAGTGTCCCGAAGCTCTGTTGTGGTTCGTTTCTGTTTTCCCTGGCTATCTGCCCCCTCTCCATTCCAGTTCTACCTGTGTGAGGTGTCATGTAAATTATAGCTATTTCACAACTGACACCTCATGCGAGGTCCCATGGCTAAACCGAATGGCACAGAGAATGTCTCTTCTCTCCTTGGATGTTGACATATTTCAATAAGCATACAAAGACCCCAAGTTTGCTGTGGATAACAGATTTACGTGTCATTGAGTTTATGGTCTCGATTCATGTATGTATGATTATGTTTGGAAGGATTGAATTGTGTTAAAAACGTTAACCTAATGCAGGTTACATCCAAACCCTTCTTGCCCTGGTGTCAGTTTAAATGACCACAGGAGGGAGCAGCGTACCACAATAACTGAAAATTGTTGACCTGCTCCAGCTTAAAGGGGAACTGCACCTGCTGATTTGGCCTTGTTTTTGGGTTGGCTTGGGTGTGTGGTTTGATTATGGGTGTTTCTTGGGTGTGTCCTTGACACACCAAGACACACCTATCTGTCAGAACCTTGCCCGCAGCTGTTTCTCCCCACTCAATCACAAACAAACCTCCTGCAGGTTGAGTTTAATAACTACAGGCAAATGTATGGTAAGATGCCGGAGGAAGCTTTAAATAATAGGTCAGTAGCCTACAGAGCAATATGAGAAGAATGCAATTGCTGAATTTATGTAGATATTCTTCAAATGTAGTAACAGGTCCACGTAGAACAAACAACCCTTTACATAATACCATAGAAGCAGTGTTCTGCTAATATAACAATGTGCACCTTTCATTGTCATTCCCAGCCAATACAGGTACTGTGCCTATCGACAATTCTGTCTGGTGGTAATGGGGCTATCTTGGCAAACATGTCGGAGTGGTTATATCTTCCTGTGTGGTATCCCATATACAACAGGAGTTTCCTGATCCTGGTGCAGAATACACAGGGTTTCTCCCTCCCCATATTGACTGATACCATTAAATTAAATAATAAAAAAAAGACTACAATTAAAAGTTGTGTCTAGTAAAATGTTTATGCAGAGTGCCAGGTCTCGCCCGTACATGTATGTCAGTCTGGACTCCATCACATCATCTTGGAAGTCTCCATGTGCTGGCTCCATACATGTTTCGGTGAACACATACACACATAGTCACTTCTATTACCAATGTGTTGTGAAATATAATGTAATGTTTTTAATTGTATATAACTGCCTTAATTTTGATGGACCCCAGGAAGAGTATCTGCTGCTTTGGCAGGAACTAATGGGGATCCATAATAAATACAAATACAAATGGCAGTTAGCATTGGTAATATCTGACACAACTCAGTGCAACTCAATATTAGGAAGGTGTTCCTAATGTTTGGTATACTCAGTGTATATATGATTATTATTTGTATTATTGTTTCATTCACTTCTCTTTTTGACCTGCACTGTTGGAGCTCGGCACTTAAGGATTTCACTGTACTGTCGTGGAAATTCTTACACAGGGACACTCGAAGTCAATCTTAAATGAATCATTGTTTATTAACAGTTAACTGGAGAGGTTCCAACAAACTTGATGCACCATAGTGAACGTCTGTTAGGAGCTCTCTCGGGGCAGTCCCGTTAGTTCTCTTATATACTGCAGACAAGTCATATTTGCATGGTTTAGCTTATTCATAATTAATTCATCATTAACGTTTGCTTCATTCATGTGACCGACCAATACTGGGTCATGCATGTGACAGACCAATACCTCACGAGGCTTCTTCTCTAAGCTGAGACCTTGAAACTGAGTGGTCCTCTGTAGCTCAATTGGTAGAGCATGGCACTTGTAACGCCAGGGTAGTGGGTTCGATCCCCGGGACCACCCATATGTAAAAATTTATGCACACATGACTGTAAGTCGCTTTGGATAAAAGCGTCTGCTAAATGGCATATTATATTATATCTTTCATTCTCAAAACAAAGGTCTGGGCGTACTGCCTAATTGCAGATACTGATAGTGAGGATTCGCTCAATCAGGTCACTTGCATGAACACAGAAAACGGTGATTAGAAAAGCACAATCATAGAACACAGAAATGTAAAATAGAAAAGCACCAACATATCATTTTTCATCACAGTACGCTGCAATTACATCTGCGACCCTGTGCATGTGACTAATAAATTAATCTAATCTAAAAAAAGAGGTGAGGCTGGAGGTGAGGTCTTTGTCAGAGGTCCTGGGTTCGAGCTTTGGTATGAGCCGAATCAGGAGGAAGTGGTACTCGCTAAGCAGGCAGCGTGACATCCTTTCTTTCGACGCCAAACCCACCACTGGTGTGCGTGGCCAAAGACCTCTATTTTCAGGTAATCCAACAAATGTAAATGCCTGGAGTTTGCTAAACGACATTGGCACTTGGATTGGAACCGGTGCTATGCTCAGATCACATGAAAATAAAGCTCCGTGGCCATGCACACCAGTGGTGGATTGGCATTGAAAGAAAGATGCATATGCAGAAAATAACCCCATACCTACTGTAGAATATGGTGGTGGATCTTCAATGTTTTGGGGCTATTTTGCTTCCACTGGTCCTGGGGCCCTTGTTAAGGTCAATGGCATCATGAACTTTACCAGGACATTTTTGCAAAAAAACCTGGTTGCCTCTACCAGGAGGCTGGAACTTGGCAGCAAGTGGATCTTCAGCAAGAAAATAACCCCAAGCACACATCAAAATCCACAAAGAAATTGTTAATTGACCACAAAATCAACATTTGGCAATGGCCATCTCAGTCTCTGGACTTGAACCCCATTGAAAACCTGTGTTTTGATTGAAGAGGGCAGTCCATAAGTGCAGACGAAGGATATCAAGAATCTGGAAAGATTCTGTATGGAGGAATGGCCTAAGATCCCTCCCTGTCATGACTTCTGCCGAGGCTGCCTCACCTCCTTGTTCGGGCAGGCTTCGGCGTTCGTCGTCACCGGCTTACTAGCCAATGCCGCTCCATATATCATCATTCCATTTGTCTTGTCTTGTCAATTACACACACCTGGTTCTTATCCCCTCATTAGTCAGTGTATAAGTGTTCTCTCTGCCCCCTTGTCCTTGTGGGTGATTGTTTTATGTGAGTTGAGTGTAGCTCGGTGGAGCTACTCGTACCTTGTATTGCCAGGGTAGATATATCCCCTGTGCCTGTATTTTGTTGGAGCTACCCGTACCTTGTATTGCCGGGGTAGATTGTTTCCCCTGTGCCTGTATTTTGTTGTCGCTATCCAGCGCAACTGTGTACGACGGAATAAACTCTGTATTCAGTGATTTACCCTCCTGCGCCTGACTCCTTCTAATCACACTCCCAATGTGTTCTCCAATCTCATAAAACGTTTTAGAAAAAGGTTCAGTGCCGTTATCCTCGCAAGTTGAGGTATTGAAAACAGAGGGGTCAACATTATTGGCATCCATCTTAAAAAATGAAAAATGATATTACTTGCTGAATAAAATCTCTTTCTCTGAGCAATTGTATTAGTATAAAATAATAAAATCTCCCAATTTGTTTAGCATACAATATAGCTTAGTATTTGTATTATTTATTATATACAGTCTTTTTTGCTCATCTTTATAAAGGGTGCCAATAATTTTGGACCTGACTGTAGATTATTGTCATAAGTGACATTTGGTTATGAAGTCTTATAGAAGGTGGGTGAGGAATGATGCCCTGTGAGTGCACACAAAAGCGGTAGCAAGAATCATTCCTATTTATCAAAGCATTCGATCTCAATCAGCACAAATTTCACCTATTGTTGGAGATGAGAGAATATCACTTTTTTCAGAGGGTGTTACAGTAAGTGATGTGGACCACTTCTACTTTGTGGGTGTGCATAAAAAGAAACTGGGGTGACAGCACCTCTCTCATCACTCTCTATAGATAACAGAAGATCATTCACATCTTCAGAAAATAGTTGGTGGTGAGTGATGTTTATTTCATGTGAATGCCAATGTCATAGCAAGATACTGTGGGAACAGTAAACTGGGACAAAGCAGTACTGTTTTTGGCTGGGGGACTAGGGCCTAGATTCAATCCGGACCACGGAAGCTCCACGTTATAGCGCGATTTACATTCAACGGTAATTTCCGATTGATCCAACATATGCAGCGTTTACCGTGAATGCAGTCCCCGCCAACACGGAAACATTGCCTTTAAAAGGTGCATAGCCGAAAAGGGCAGATTGGATTGAATCTAGCCTGGTCTGTATGTTTATAACGTTGTAAAACAACACATTCAGATGTAGACAATATGCATCTTTTAATTATACAGTAGCTCAGGGTAGGTAGCTCAAGGTAGGAGAGACCGGGGCACAAAGTAAAACACCCAGAAAAGGCTCCTCTCCTTGATGTTATCCTCACAAATAATCCTGATAGGTATCAGTCTGGTGTTTTCTGTAATGACCTTAGTGATCACTGTGTTCGTAATGGCTGCTCAGTGAAACGACCTGTCCTGATTTGTCATAGACGCTTGCTAAAAAACTTGAATGAGCAAGCCTTCCTTCATGACCTGGCCTCTGTAAATTGGTATAGAATCAGCTTGATCCCCTCTGTTGAAGACGCTTGGACCTTATTTTTTGATATTTTTAGTGGTATTGTTAACAAACACACCCCCATAAAGAAAATGAGAATTAAAAACAGGTTCAGTCCCTGGTTCGACCGTGATCTGGCAGAGTTACTCCACCTCAAGAATTCCATTTGGCGAAAGGCTCGGCACACGCATACTCAGGCTGACTGGCTCTCGTTCAGGCAAATGAGAAGTAAGTGCACTCAGGCTATCCGGAAGGCCAAAGTTAGTTATTTAAGGAGCAGTTCTCTCTCTGTGGGTCAAACCCCAAGAAGTTCTGGAAAACGGTTAAAGACCTGGAGAATAAACCCTCGTCCTCACAGCTGCCCATGTCCCTTAATGTTGATGATGCAGTTGTTACTGACAAAGAGCACATGGCTGAGCTCTTTAATCACCACTTCATTAAGTCAGGATTCCTATTTGCCTCATTGCCCGTCCAACATTTCCTCATCTCCCACCCCTTCTAATGCGACTAGCCCCAATGCTCCTCCCTCTTTTCCCCCTGCCCCTGTCACTGAGTCCGAGGTGCTAAAGGAGCTCCTTAAACTTGACCCCCAAAAAACATCTGGGTCAGATGGTTTAGACCCTTTCTTCTTTAAGGTTGCAGCCCCTATCATCGCCAAGCCTAGCTCTGACATTTTTAACCTGTCTCTCCTCTCTGGGGAGGTTCCCATTGCTTGGAAGGCAGCCACAGTGCGTCCTTTATTTAAAGGGGAAGATCAAGCTGATCCTAACTGTTATAGGCCAATTTCTATTTTGCCCTGTTTATCAAAAGTGTTGGAAAAACTTGTCAACTGACTGGCTTTCATGATGTCTATAGTATTCTTTCTGGTATGCAATCTGGTTTCTGCTCAGTTTATGGATGCGTCACCGCAACCTTAAAGGTCCTAAAGGATATCACCATTGCCCTTGATTCTAAGCAATGTTGTGCTGCTATTTTTATTGGCTTTTGAAACGGTAGACCATTCCATTCTTGTGGTCCCGCTAAGGAGTATTGGTGTCTCTGAGGGGTCTTTGGCCTGGTTTGCTAACCACCTCTCTCAAAGAGTGCAGTGTATAAAGTCAAAACATCTGCTGTCTCAGCCACTACCTGTCACCGAGGGAGTACCCCAAGGCTCGATCCTAGGCCCCACGCTCTTCTCAATTTACATCAACAACATAGCTCAGGCAGTAGGAAGCTCTCTCATCCATTTTTATGCAGATTATACAGTCTTATACTCAGCTGGCCCCTCCCCGGATTTTGTGTTGAACGCTCTACAACAAAGCTTTCTTAGTGTTCAACAAGCTTTCTCTGCCTTTAACCTTGTTCTGAACACCTCCAAAACAAAGGTCATGTGGTTTGGCAAGAAGAATGCCCCTCTCCCCACTGGTGTGATTACTACCTCTGAGGGTTTAAAGCTTGAGGTAGTCACCTCATACAAGTACTTGGGAGTATGGCTACACGGTACAATGTCCTTCTGTCAGAACATATCAAAGCTGCAGACTAAGGTTAAATCTAGACTTGGTTTCCAGGTTTCCTCTATCGTAATCGCTCCTCTTTCACCCCAGATGCCAAACTAACCCTGATTTAGATGACCATCCTACTCATGCTAGATTACTGAGACGTAATTTATAGATAGGCAGGTAAGGGTGCTCTCGAGCGGCTAGATGTTCTTTACCATTAGGCCATCAGATTTGCCACCAATGCTCCTTATAGGACACATCACTGCACTCTATACTCCTCTGTAAACTGGTAATCTCTGTATACCCGTCGCAAGACCCACTTGTTGAAATGTATTTATAAAACCCTCTTCGGCCTCACTCCTCCCTATCTGAGATACCTACTGCAGCCCTCATCCTCCACATACAACACCCGTTCTGCCAGTCACATTCTGTTAAAGGTCCCCAAAGCACACACATCCATGGGTCGCTCCTCTTTTCAGTTAGCGGTAGCTAGCGACTGGAATGAGCTGCAAAAAACACTCAAACTGGACAGTTTTATCTCCATCTCGTCATTCAAAGACTCAATCATGGACACTCTTACTGACAGTTGTGGCTGCTTCGCGTGATGTATTGTTGTCTCTACCTTCTTGCCTTTGTGCTGTTGTCTGTGCCCAAAATGTTTGTACCATGTTTTGTGCTGCTATCATGTTGTGCTGCTGCCATGTTGTGTTGCTACCATGTTGTTGTCATGTGTTGCTGCCATGCTATGTGGTTGTCTTAGGTCTCTCTTTATGTAGTGTTGTGTTGTCTCTCTTGTTGTGATGTGTGTTTTGTCCTATATCTTATATATTTTATTTATTTATTTATGTTTAATCCCAGCCCCCGTCACCGAAGGAGGCCTTTTGCCTTTTGGTAGGCCGTCATTGTAAATAAGAATTTGTTCATAACTGACTTGCCTAGTTGAATAAAGATGTGTTTTTAAATAAAAAAGGCCTGTAAGAAATACAAGGGGGGCATTTAACTTCCGCCACTTTCGGTTTAATTGTAAACGATGTATGTCCTAGAAACATTGTTACAGTGTGTAATGGTAGGTAGCTAAGATATGTATGTTGTTTGTATAAAATCTACCTCAAATAATATTTTCAAAATAAAGAAAAGCCTAAAAGTGTTACTTTGTGCCCCGGTCTCCCCTAATTCATCACATTTTCATGCTCTCCATTTTTCACGGTGAAATCTGAACTTGAGATCCACAAGTGTGATTGCATGGAATACCACTGACCCAGAGAAGCTAAGGTGTTTTCTGTCTGGGGCGATTGTACTTCTAGGGCTCAGGAAGCGACATGAGCTTAACTTGGTAAAGAATCATGCATTGATGTCAATGGAAGGCTTCCACAAATAGTTGCTTTTGTGTCATAGTATTTGGGCCTCAGTGTGTAAAATTACACTGAACAAAAATATAAACGCAACATGTTGGTCCCATGTTTCATGAGCTGAAATAAAAGATCACAGAAATGTTCCATATGGACAAAAAGCACCATGGTCTTGTAGTAGATGCGAGCCTCAACTGGAATCCAGTGGAGTGTGCGGAGGAGCGGGGTGACATGAGAGAACTTGGGAAGGTTGAACAACAGACGGGCTGCAGCGTTCTGGATAAGTTGTAGGGGTTTAATGGCACAGGCAGGGAGCCTAGCCAACAGCAAGTTGCAGTAATCCAGACGGGAGATGACAAGTGCCTGGATTAGGACCTGTGCCGCTTTCTGTGTAAGGTAGGGTCATACTCTTCGAATGTTGTAGAGCATGAACCTGCAGGATCGGGTCACCGCTTTGATGTTAGCGGAGAACGACAGGGTGTTGTCCAGGGTCACGCTAAGGTTCTTTGCACTCTGGGAAGAGGACACAATGGAGTTGTCAACCGTGATGGCGAGATCATGGAGCGGGCAGTCCTTACTGCTTTGTATCCTAAAGGTGATTGTTCCTCAACTAAGTGGCTGTTCCACAGAGCTGGATCTCAGAGTGTTATTGAAGTGGTCTCATATGGGAAGTTCAGTGTTGAAAATACAGAAAGAGCAGAGAGACTGAGAGTGGGGCCTGGCTGCGCTCTGGTTGTTCAGAATATCAAAGATGAGGATGCTGGATGGTACACCTGTCAACATTACCCTACGGAATATGGCCCAAAATAAGGGGATGGTCTGGTTTATCTCTCTGTCCTGTCGATCTCTTCATCGACACCAGTGCAGATCTAAAGCCTCTCCTGACCTTCCTTGACTTCACCCCAACATTCTCAGATCAAAGTCCTCTCTCTGTGATGTCAATCAGTTGCATAGGGCTCTGTGTGGCACTGCCCTTAATGGTTGTCATAGTTGGTGTTTACACCAAAATGAGGGACCTCCAAAAACCAGAGGTTTCTTCAGGCATGGAGGCGACAGAGCTCCAAGTCTTGGGCTGATGTCCTGCTCCTCCTCACTCGCAGTTCTCTCTTGAAGATGCCATGTTCTCTACTGAAACAGTATTGATTGTGTAAGTCCTTTATTGATTTTATTACTTTTACTGTTAGCTACATTAAATTATGTTAGGAAGATTTGAACATGCATTTATTATATATTTTTGAAATGTTTTCTGGAGACATATCCCTTGGCTCCAAAGCCTTTTTCTTGGTTTCGACATAGGGTTTTGCTTTTGTGAATTGCGCTGTAAAAATGTCTATTCTAATTTGGGAATACAAAGGAATAAAATCATGTATAATATATCCTTGAGATCTGATTAATCTGTCTTTATTGCTGCATAAATAAACACTCTGTACTGTGCATTCAAAGAGCAGTAAGATACTTATTGTTCGGTAGCACTGTACTTGAATAAAAAAAACAACCGTAAAATAAAATAAATACAATTTATCACACATTTACCTTAATTTTTTTGTGAAAAGTTGTTCACAGGTCCAGTCTAGGGAAACTAAATCACAACCTAATGCTAGATGGTGTGACACTCTACATATGTTAAGATTGTATTCTTTATTTAGATATATAGAACACTGTGACATTTGTCGTTCAAGCTTGACCTTGGCTTCATTAGACTGAAAATATTATTGCTCCTCATATCTTATTGGTATGGTAAGGAGAGCTTAGTGACTGTTATTGACTGTTGAGACAGTCACTATGCAGTTCCATCGAGGCTGTCTCTCGTTGCTGCGGTGAGCCACCGCTGTGTCATTGACTCCACACCGTCACCTTGGGGGGAGGGGTTTGACTCGTGAGAGGAGAGGGGCAGCAAGATGACGGTACCAGGCACCCAGCAGGTAAACCGCCTTCCAAAGTGCCCTCTGTACCAGTGAGGTAATACAGATAAAGCTTAGTGTAACTTGGGTTCAAACACAATATGAATCAACAGGAACTGGAGCAGGAAGTTGGAGACTTGAGGAGCACTCTCACACTACTGTGATGGTCTTGTCTATGTATGAAAACATCACAGATGCTCCACTCCACTCATTCCCAATTCCCAACACAGATTCACTCTAACCCAATGATTAGGGGGGAGAATGTGGGCTTTGAATCCTGCAGATATTATTCCAGTGCACTGCTTATTAGTAGTTACTTTAGAAGAGATATGTTTAAATTGAGCTTGAAGAGCTCCTTGAATGGCAATGCCTACTGTAATATAGACCTATTGAACAGGGGATGTTTAATCTACTGTTTGTATGCTTGTCTCACAAACCATATTCCAAATTGTAAAGACATAACACAATAATTGTATATAAATATATTTATAAAAATATTCTGGAGGCAGTCCCAGAAATTATTTACATTATTCATGCAAACATACACAAAACAAACAATGTATCTTGACAGCATTCTGCACAATATACATGATTTGAAGGAATGCATATTGTAAGACTGTAGTGTAGCCTGTCTGATATAACCAGTAAAATCTCTGTTATAACTACTAGCCATTGTGACCTCAATTTTCTACCCAATATTTTGCAAATATACAGTAAATGTTGCTAATTCATAGTTGGATGTAAACAATAGCAAACTGTTCTCATATTTAAAAAATATAATTTTTCCTATTTGGTCAGACATGAAAACCTAACAGGGATAGTGTTTCTTTGAATAAAGAATACACATTTATTTTGTTTCCCCATTACGATGAGCACTTATTTGTCAATCTCTTAACCACATGACCAGACACCCCAACTCAGTCCTGGGGGCTCAATGTCCCTCACAGTGGGAGCCCAAACCCCTCAAGTTCAAGTTTCAACTTTATTTTCCCAGCGGGAAATTATATCAGGTCTCTGTATATCAGCTATACAGTAGCTACCTGCAGAATAGCATATCGACCAGGAAGTCCAGCAGATCTGCTTGGCCTATGACAGGACGGAAGAAGAGCTCAGTGATGAGGTTGGGTGTGATGGTCTTGAGCATGGAGGCCGCGAGCAGGATGCGAGCGAAGCGGCCTTGGTCCCCGGGGTGGAGTGGTTGGACCACCTCCCTCAGAGCATGCTGAGCCTCCTGCTGTAAGCCCTCCACGAATATAGCTGCCTTTAGGTCTTTCACATCTGTTGAGGAGGATAGAAATGTATCATGAGTGGACAAGCTACATTTTATACACAGTGGTACAATACAGTACTGTTCAGTTATATATGACATTGCAATTGGTTTTTTGTAACCCTACTGGTCAGCTGGATTCACTGAAGGTATTTGATGTGTTGTTGCGTTGAGTCGACAGTGGGGACAAGCCCTTAACAAGCCTTATTTCATGTTTGAATGTTGTATGTAGGGAGGCTTATTAGATTATCAAGCAGCTGTGGGGATGTAAAATCCCTACCGAACAAGCACTTCCATTGACTGGTTGAAATATTGAAGCTTTAAGGCAAACCTCACCTGGGTTAAATATCATGATGCCCTTGAGGTATGCGTACTCCTTTGGACTTAAATCCAGACTCCAGAACTTTTTGAGGCATGACTTGAGTTTGTTCACTCCAGCCAAGGTGGGCTGCTCTCTTTCCGTCTCTGAGCTCTCTTGAGAATTCAAGAGGATTCTTTTCAGCATGCTATCGGCAGGGGTGTCGATGACGTCAAAGTTCATGCCTTCCTGGGCCAGACCCAAAATAAAGAGTGGCGCCCAGCAACTTTGGAGGAGCGATAGTTGATCGTTCGGTGGGAGTTGGTTGAAGGCAGGTAAATTCTTCATAAAGTGAATTGTTTTCACCAGCACTCCCGATGCCTCTTGGCAAATGTCTGCTGGACTTTTCAAGCACACTGTCCGTCGCATCTCGCAGTTGCATCTATGAGGCATCAAGTTGTAGTTCAGGTTGTTGTGGCTTGACTTGTCATTGTCTTGACTGAGGATGTTGAAAAGGATAGCATTTGACTGCCTGTCATCGTTGTCTGTACATTGACATACGTTCTCCATTTTGATGAGATATAGAACAAACTCTCAAAAACAAAATGAAAAGCTGAAATACATTCAAATGTTCTTGTCCTACCAAGACAGGCTCTCGTTGAGGTGGTGTGTGGGTGTGCAGATGCCTTACGCCGTGCCTCTATTTATAAGGCCAACCCACTGAGCTAAACTCGTGCACCTTGACCTGTCAATACTCCCTTGGTGAAAAACAAAGAGCCCCTAAAGAGCAGACAACTCGACTGACGGCCTCCTCTAAAGAGCAGATAACGTTTTCTCAATGAAAACCAATGCATGTCCATTTAGGGTGGGGTGAGCCTAATCTTTGAGCCTCTGTCATTACCCCAGGCTGTACCAAGCTACCAAGGACTGTGGGAGTACTCAAGCACACTGTATATAGCTCTGCTCATTGCCAGCCCACACCTAAGTTGGACATGGGCCAATGTAAACAGGTAAGGGAGCATTGATCTCTCAGCTAAGTCCTTGAGAGATGTAGCCATCCTGAACTTTTTATCCTACTAAGTTTAGTTCAGGCTTACTAAGGGCTAAATATTCCAAAAACAGTAGGCCTGCATAACCGAATGGATTTCTAGGATAGAAATGATGTCCCAAAGTAATGAAAACTTTCAATATGACAGATATATGACTGACGTTTCTTGTGGAGTTCTGCCATATTTCAGTTTTAAAGAAATGCTACATCCATTTATAATTTACATTACAGCACATCTTACATTGAACAAAAGCTTATGAATTAGTTTTGTACAATGCCAGGAATGACAGACGGAATTAGTGAAGGAAAACAATAGTGAAACATAGCGTGATTGTGTGGATTTGGAAGCTACAGCAGTGCCTATCTACCCTAAACTCTGATCACAGCCATGTGTCCCCACCGTACATTCCACACTGACTCAGAAGCCTGTCTCATCAATAATGTGTTTTCTGGGCAAATCTGGCTAGAAGACATCTCGATACCCAGACCCAAACCAATACCAGACCCCAACCAAACCAATACACAACCTCGAGACCCACACCAAGAACCAAACTCTTGAGACTGAAACCCAGACCAAGTGTATCGAAAGCCTGACGAGCCTAAGACCAGTTAAAATGTGGAAAAACAAGATCCAGACCGAGACCCAGAGAAAGACCAATCTGAAAGCGTCCCATCCGGCTTCCACCAAAAGCACGGTGCCCTGACACTTTTGTGTTGTGTCACTACTTTTTAGTCACATAACTCTGACAAGAGATTTCTTGACCAAATGAGATGAGAGACTAACTACGGTCTGCGACCTAGACCTGAAAATGTATGCTGGGGCCAGACCCAGTGACAAGACCAAGACCACATTTACAGTATGTGGCATTGTGTGACCACAAGATCAAGATTCGGTCTCTGGTTTCAACCAACTCAACCATTTACAGTATGTAAAGATACTTAAAGAGTTTTGCAAAAAAACATGATTATTTGTCTCTCTGAACTTAAACAATCAAGTGATAGATTTCAAACATGTCTGTCATTGAACAACCCCATGCCATGATTATATAGTGAAAAAACACAAATGTTAAAAATGTATGGATATGGTTTGTTATCTTTGCAGTGCCTAGCACAGAGGTTTGAACCAGATAAGCTAATTACTTTATTAGTCTGATAAATTAACAGGATGTGAGCATGTGTCAAATGTGTTTGGGTAAGGAGGCGTAGTATTCAGAATAGATCAAAGGGAACCCTGGTTACCAAAACACAATTGCTTCAATATCATATTTTATACTTTTTATCAAGCTAGGCTCTGATACATTGTTTCAACTTTCAAATACTGTTTCATAGATATCTAGAATTCTACATGCAGTCTATCTACAGTGGGGAAAAAAAGTATTTAGTCAGCCACCAATTGTGCAAGTTCTCCCACTTAAAAAGATGAGAGAGGCCTGTAATTTTCATCATAGGTACACGTCAACTATGACAGACAAAATGAGAAAAAAAAATCCAGAAAATCACATTGTAGGATTTTTAATGCATTTATTTGCAAATTATGGTGGAAAATAAGTATTTGGTCAATAACAAAAGTTTCTCAATACTTTGTTATATACCCTTTGTTGGCAATGACACAGGTCAAACGTTTTCTGTAAGTCTTCACAAGGTTTTCACACACTGTTGCTGGTATTTTGGCCCATTCCTCCATGCAGATCTCCTCTAGAGCAATGATGTTTTGGGGCTATCGCTGGGCAACACGGACTTTCAACTCCCTCCAAAGATTTTCTATGGGGTTGAGATCTGGAGACTGGCTAGGCCCCTCCAGGACCTTGAAGTGCTTCTTACGAAGCCACTCCTTCGTTGCCCGGGTGGTGTGTTTGGGATCATTGTCATGCTAAAAGACCCAGCCACGTTTCATCTTCAATGCCCTTGCTGATGGAAGGAGGTTTTCACTCAAAATCTCACGATACATGGCCCCATTCATTCTTTCCTTTACACGGATCAGTCGTCCTGGTCCCTTTGCAGAAAAACAGCCCCAAAGCATGATGTTTCCACCCCCATGCTTCACAGTAGGTATGGTGTTCTTTGGATGCAACTCAGCATTCTTTGTCCTCCAAACACGACGAGTTGAGTTTTTACCAAAAAGTTCTATTTTGGTTTCATCTGACCATATGACATTCTCCCAATCCTCTTCTGGATCATCCAAATGCACTCTAGCAAACTTCAGACGGGCCTGGACATGTACTGGCTTAAGCAGGGGGACACGTCTGGCACTGCAGGATTTGAGTTCCTGGCGGCGTAGTGTGTTACTGATGGTAGGCTTTGTTACTTTGGTCCCAGCACTCTGCAGGTCATTCACTAGGTCCCCCCGTGTGGTTCTGGGATTTTTGCTCACCGTTCTTGTGATCATTTTGACCCCACGGGGTGAGATCTTGCGTGGAGCCCCAGATCGAGGGAGATTATCAGTGGTCTTGTATGTCTTCCATTTCCTAATAATTGCTCCCACAGTTGATTTCTTCAAACCAAGCTGCTTACCTATTGCAGATTCAGTCTTCCCAGCCTGGTGCAGGTCTACAATTTTGTTTCTGGTGTCCTTTGACAGCTCTTTGGTCTTGGCCATAGTGGAGTTTGGAGTGTGACTGTTTGAGGTTGTGGACAGGTGTCTTTTATACTGATAACAAGTTCAAACAGGTGCCATTAATACAGGTAACGAGTGGAGGACAGAGGAGCCTCTTAAAGAAGAAGTTACAGGTCTGTGAGAGCCAGAAATCTTGCTTGTTTGTAGGTGACCAAATACTTATTTTCCACCATAATTTGCAAATAAATTCATAAAAAATCCTACAATGTGATTTTCTGGAAAAAAAATTCTCAATTTGTCTGTCATAGTTGACGTGTACCTATGATGAAAATTACAGGCCTCTCTCATCTTTTTAAGTGGGAGAACTTGCACAATTGGTGGCTGACTAAATACTTTTTTCCCCACTGTATAGCCGTGGCAAAATGTGTAAATCAGAGATTTCCTGATGAAGGTAGTCAAGGTCATGAGCTGAACGACTGCAATAAAGAGATTGCAGGTGCAGGCTGCCGATGGCATCACCAGTCACCTGAATGATTGCATGACTTCCACTTTTAGTCACATAATTCTGACATGAGATGGTGCCCATTGGTGTATTTTGAGTAGTCTCTCCTAACAGACGAAACATCAACATATCTGTGGGATATGAGGATTATGGAGAACTATTCTACCGGTGTGCTGGTTTTTGCATCAATGATTATTTGGACGAATCACGATTTTGTCGGGGTACACCTACACCTGAATTTCAGAAGGGGAGGGGATTTGGCCTATGGACTTGGCTGGGAGGATTTTAGAGGAGGGTGTGGACTTGTCTCTTACCAAAGAGGATCCACTCTGGTTCCGCCACTCGCACTAGGCCAAACATCTCAACCTCTCCTCCATAACAAATTGAATAGCTCGCTGAAGGCCAGCGCTCACGGAACATGTGGTACACGCAAGATGTGGTTGCCGAGATACATTTCAAGAGCCATAACAACTACGGTCTTGTCCAAGACCATGAGCCAAGACCAATTCCCAGACCAGGGCATAGGTGCCAAGACCTAGACCAAGAACAAGTGTATCAAGACCTTGACGAGACCAAGACCGCTTTTATTTTTGACACGGTAATTGGTGTGCATCTGACTTGAAATCCATCATTTCAGATATCAAGTCCTTATTGAGTAAGGATGATGCGACGAATTGGCTAAAAATGAAACTGAATTTAAGATAGCCAGAGAAATGTTGTCTATAACCTGTTACAGTCTGCACAGGGAGGTGTGAGATCTGTATTGTGGCATATTCTAGGGCTTTTGTATCTGTATTCTCACGCACCACTAACTAGCTGCTTTAACGAAAACACAGGATGTTTCACCAGACACATTCTCTACAGGGAAATATTGATCCATCATAGCCAGACATGCAGGTCTCCACTCTCCATGGCAAGCATCCAGGTATTGTAACTTCTGAGGCATTCAGGCTGTTGTAAATGCCTTTGATAAGGCTTGTGTTTATTGAGGTGAGGAGCAGTCTGAGACGGGCACGGAGGACAGACGTTTATCACCACAGAGATTGTAAGAATAAAACACTGTCCTTCATTCTGGAAGAATGTCGTAAGGGCTGCATTCTGCAATCTTTGGAGAACAAGACCCTTAAAGTGCTACATTTGCTCTGAGACATATGACGCAATGGCCATCGCTGTCACCTGAGGAATGTCCGTGCATCAAGTTGTTGACATGCATTATTGCTTTCACACTGCTTTCAATACACGCCAGCCAATGTCTGATGCCTCTACTTTCAGCTTGTAACACTGTTTATACTGTGTTGTAAAAACAGAAACAGTTGATAGTAACAGCAATCATTACTGGAACATTTTCTAGTGAGGAAGTTTATTGCGCAGTTCAACCAAGAATCAAATTATTATCATGAAGTTACTATACAACTGTAATTATCGTGGTATATTTGTTTGTCATATTCAATGTCCCCTGAGTAATATCACTTATTAAGTACAGGAATAGATAGTAAGCTGCAGCGGCTCTCCTCTCTGCTACCAGGGTCATTGAACTCTAGAGTGGGATATACTGTCCTGTCAGACTCTGTGTGTGACAGACACAACTCTTATTGGCCTTGATCTACTGTG